AGTAATGCTTTTAATGTGTTTTATTTTTTCGATATTTTCAAACCAAGTTTTCCATGTGGTATCATCAGCATATTCAATATTTTTTACATAGAAAATGAATAGTATGAATCTTAGGATAGATCCCAGGAGAATCTCCATCTTATTTTCTTCTTGAACGATACATATCCATTTGAGGAATGAGATTTTTCTGTCAGGTAAATCTGAACTAACGAAAAAAAAATAGATGATAAAATTTGTAACGCATTTTTAGTAACTTCGAATTGATGAATATTAATACCTTAGGACAAATGGTGAATAATTGAGAAAACATGCCCCTATATCACGAAGATTTTTTAGAGCAGCCATACTCTAAGTGTATTCTGCAGAACCCTAGGGTTCCGCGATACCCCTGTAGGGGTTCCGCAAGAAATAAGAAGCAAATTCAAAACACGGCGGCGTATCACGATTCACGAGGCGCAGCCTCACCACCCACCACAGTATACTTTGTTCGTTCAAATGACTGGCATACTTTGTTAAGCCGACACAAACGAACCGGCAAAAGGCGGCGTTCGACTACTCCAAAGAATCCGATGCAAGCCATTTGGGTAAACATACCGTACAATTTTACTATGCCACCACCGCCGATATCTACTTGTGAGCGCGCAGTCCCTTTGATAAAAGCCGCCTCTGAGATTAGACGGTATAGTTGTGAACAGGCGACTTTCGGCTTTAACTTCAAAACATGAAGTCGAGACTGTTTACACCGCATTTTTGTATTTCTATTTTTATTTTGGATTTTTATTTATCAAAGGCGCCGACTCGAGTATTTTTGAGAATGTTCGCGATCGAGGCTAGGACTATAAAGGCGACGATCGCGCCTCGACATTTTTTGACGCTTGGAAAAATATATTTGAGAACTTATTTCGTCCTGTATAATTCTGATTTGGAACTCTTGGAGGATGCGAAGTAGTCGCTGACGCAGCTCGCCGTTTCATAAATCAGCATGTGAATTCATCTTCAACAAATTTTCTAAAACTATATTTTCAAAACGCATTGAATATGATCCACAGAAGAGTATTTTTAGTATTTAAACACCTCAACTCTTCCACTTCACGAGTCAACTTTTTTTAATTTTCGAGACAATATCATCATGTCGGAAAGAGGAGTTGAACAAGGAGATCCTCTGGCTCCTACCCTTTTCTGCTTATCCATTGATCATTTGAAAGTCATTTCAAACTGATTTCAACTGTTGATACTTGGATGATGGATCTATAGGTGATCACCCGGATGTAGTTTTGAATTTTGCAAAATGCGAAATATTTTTTTAATTCACAAGATGAATCAATGGTGCAAACATTCAACAGTTTAACCCCTGGAATAAAGACGGTAAGAATGACGAAAATCAAGTAGTTTTCATAAAAGAGCTCTAAAACAACGCATTTTAAAGTTATCATTTCAACCTTTTTCGTTAAAAAAATATTTAAATACTTAAAAAAGAGGAATGAAATAATGCATTCAACATTTAACGGGATTCGTTTCTATTTCACTATTTGGCAACATCGGTTGTAGCTAATGAAGGACACGGAATCTGTTTCTTTTATGAGACCTTTCCGAGTTCCGAGACATTCTATGACAAATGACATTTTGTGCACCTAACCTATCTTGCTCTATATAAATAAATAACAAAACAACTGTTGATTATGTGGCATGTGGAGGTGGTATTGAACTATAATTTAAATATTGCCTGATTGTTGATTCATAAAGATAATTTTCCTTTTTTGAATTAGAATATCTAGGTACGTATAAATTATTTCAACTTGATATATGCACTGTTGCCAATATGTGAATTAGAAACAAACCCCTTTAAAAATTAAAACCCAACATTTGAAACATCAATTTGAATACTTTTCGAAGTGAATTTGAAAAACTCATGAATTAAACTCAACTTTATTTTTTTCAAACTTGCATTTGTTGTTATAAGCCAAATTGAGGAACATTCCCCATTATCTTTATATGAATTTTTGAAACAAAAAACAACTTCCCAAATTTGAATGCATCTTACATCAAAAGCATTCCTGCTCACATTAGATACTTTTTACTAAAGAACTCTTTTGCAATTCCTGAATTAATGTATACCGTAAAAAGTAGCCCTACATGTTTTATGTGACGTAATCGATGCAGAGAGAGATGGAGATGTATCGAGGTGATACGTCGCCAGCGCAAGCATGACAGGTTCAGTGTTGTCGGTTGTAAAATAAATCGTTGTTTATAGGGCGATGTAGCATTTCATGCGTTGCCAGTTTCAAAATTAAGCATGAAACATTAGGAATACGACTCGATAAAAATTGTATGGTAATGAGACGATGACGACTAGAAGGGTCTAACGTCTTAACGTACGTTCCAACATGCCAGAAGGGCACTAAGTTGTATCTTCGTTAACCAAGTTAGCATCAGCAGGAGAAAGGGGAGATGGCACCCAATGGTGTGAGGGAGTTACGTGTTGTGGAGTTAACGTATGAAAGTAGGTGGCAATAGGGGAAGCGAAGTATTCGACAATGACATTTCAAAATACGTTGTATTGCGCGCGTTTCGACAGTTTTGCGTGAGTTTCGTCTGTTTTCCGTACGTTTATTCGTTATCGTTTAGTCGTCATTGTCGTAGCCTTATTCGTCTCAGATTTCAGAATCCGTATGAGAAGCATATGTAAAATTGTAGAGATCTGGACAAAATATGAGAAATTTTGATTATCCACCTTTAACATATCTTTACGTTTCATGCAAAAATATAAAATAGAATACGTTTATTTCATCACATTAACTACAAAATGTACAATAGTGACAAATAAGAATAACAATAGTTGTGGTTATACACACTGATTACATCTAAAACAGTTATTTTGGGAAATGAAAAATTAAAACACATTCAACATATTACAATATTAATGTCTAATTCAAATATTCGTCGATGGAGTAGAAACAGTGCCTTAATAGTGAGTTCTTAACTCTAGCCTGGAAACGGTTTTAACTCAGATCGGCAATGTCTGTTGGTATTTCATTGTATAAATGTAATTTGAGTGAATTATGAGCTGATAGATCCAGTCTATAAAATTGAGGCCTTAGGTGTGCCCCTCTTCGAGTAGGGTAATTATGAAAGTCAGCATTTGTAAGGTACTCAGTATTATTTTTGTGAATCTCTAAAATGTTACAGAGTATGAAAATACATAGCAAGGGTAGAATTTTGAGTTTTTGAAATAGAGGACGACGGTGTTTGTTCTCGGTAAGAAATATTGGCTATGATCCGGAGTGCTTTTTTGCATACGAAAGGCTTTAAATGCATGTGAAGACTGACCCCATAAACGTATGCCATATGTTAGGTGGCTGTTAAAAAGAGAAAAGTATGTCTGTAATACCATACTTTGACTAAGACACATTTTCAGCTGTCTTAGTAGGAACAGTTGTGTAGAAAGTTTTTTGCACAGACCAGCAACATGTGCTTCCCAGTTTAACATGCTTCTACCGTTGATACATCATCTGCATAGCAAAAAAGATAAGCTTGGGAGTAAGAAATTCAAAATATCATTATTATATACCACAAAAAGAGTTGGTCCCAGTTGTGGTACACCGTGCAAAGACACATCCAGTAATGAAAAAATCATCATATACCAAAACATGCGATATATTTGGATTCGCTATGGTGAGGTTTCGAATCCGTCAAAAAGAGGTCACTTTTGGTTTTCACCGGTACTCATTTCAAATCATTTCATTTGTAGATTATAAAAAATATAATATCAAGCGTAATGTGAAATAGCATGAGAATTGCGAATCAAAGAAAATCGTCAAATGAAAGAAGAAATGCAGAATTAATCGACAGAGAAAAAACAAAGATGGCGCAACGTGTCAGAAGGGCACTAAGCCACACCTTGGTCAATAATAGTCGAATCTTCACGTACAGCACGTCAAATGAAAAGAGAAGAAATGCAGAATTCATCGACAGAGAAAAAACAAAGATGGCGCTACATGTCAGAAGGGCACTAAGCCACATCTTCGTTAATGAGTGTTGGATCTCAACGTACAGCATGCCAAATGAAAGGGAAACGAATGCAGAATTCATCGACAAAAAGAAACAGAGACGATGCCAAGAGGGCACTAAGTTGCATCTTCGCTAATAATAGTCGCATCATTACATGTAGAACATCAAATAAAATGCAAAATAAAGCAGAATTCATGTGTTACATATTGTTTGTTGGCCTTCTCTATTCATACCCGAAGTGACATGGATCACTGTCAATGCTGACTTTCTAAATCTACATCCGGCAATACGTCTCAAAACGGCGGAATAAAGACTCTTTAATTTCTTTGTTTCATTTTAGAATATATCATCACCTAATTTCCTATTCATATGTAAACACTCATTTACTATAAATACGTCCTGCGTGGTGAAATGAGTTAGTTGTATCAGTTGAAAGTGATACCAGTGACAAGTGCACCGATTCTATTCGAAAGTGAGTGTTTTTAAGTTTGATATTTTTTGTCAGATGAATGTATTCAAATGTAATTCAATTCAAAGTGGGTGAGAGTTGTAGACTCATCATTTAATTTCCAAAAATGTTTTTCAATATATATTGGATAAGTTCAGTCAAATGTTTTTCATGTCGTCGTTTGTTTGAGAGTCTTAGTGTAATTTGTAATTCAAAATATACAAATTTTTATTTTTTTGCAGATGAATTCACAAAAAGTGAATTTAAGTTCGGTAGTGTAGAGGAAGCCAATTATCAAAGTAGCAGATTTGCTTGTTGAGAAGCCGCAGAGAATATTGGCAGCCAAAATCGTGAGAGATAAATTTGGTGAGGCGGTCTTGTTGGATTTGGGTCCGAAAGTGTCACCGGTGCTGCACCAAGTGAAGGAGTATCGCCCCCATTTGGAAGAATTTTCATCAGGAAAATACGCGGTTGTGTTCAAAGGGTTGATGGACATTAGGAAATCGAATCATGTGGTTTCATTTGAAATCATTCGAAATTAAGGTTAGTATTGTTTCTCATTTTTTCTCTGTTTAATATGAAAAGAGTTTGTGGTTGTATACAATATTTTTTGTTCGACTCAAAAATTTTCACTCATAGATATGATCCGTATAATGTAGTGTTTCCATTCAATATTTTTCCCTTGTTTGGTACGTGAAGAACATGTTTCAAATTCCTTGGTTTGAATGACAGTTGATTTTTTATTTTAATTATAAATGTAGCTCGCTCTTTTTTATCATCACTTCATGACAGATACTGTTGAAAAAAATTTTGGTATGTTTGTATTGAAAATCTAATTTATTTCAGATCAATACATCAACGTGTGTAGTATCAGTTCAGAGTCATGTCAACAACAGCATCCAAAACCATCCAAACAATCTTTCCAGAACGAGTTTTAAATCCCAGTAGTTTCCATTTTGTCAGTCTATAGTTGCACCTTATGAGACTAGCAGTCGTCGATATTCGGGGATTTGTTGTTGAGCAACAATTTCACTCCAAAGAGATTGTCATTAAGATCGGTAATCAATGTAATAACTTCAACCGCCGAAAACATTCTTCTACTTGAGCATAGACGATAAAAAGGGCGTTGTGTATCTGAAAAGAAACATTCATGGTTTGAAGTATTCTTCAAGCTTCGTGGAATATCATCTACACATCTACAGGACAGCATCCTCAAGGAATATGATATTGATATATCATTTATATGCATGGTCATCAGAAAAAAACGTTTCTGGATGACAGATTGCACCTATTCAATATATACACAACCGTTGTGAATTTGGCAACAAACATCCTTCAGATGACGTAACGAGTGAATTTGATGGTGAACTTCGTCACACACTACCGACACATACTCAACTTTAATAGATAAAAGCTTTCGTGCAGCGGAGTTTTGTCATTCTGTCACAGATATATGAACATTTTGAAGAAACTCAAACAATTTATGACAGGAACAAAATTTGATGAAAAAACTGCTCTGGATGGGATCAAGCGCTGGAATCGGGTGAAATAGCGCGCTGGAATCGGGTGAAATAGCGCTTGAAACGATTGAAACACCTCTTGAAACGATTGAAACACCTCTTGAAATGGGCGAAATAGCTCTGAAACGATCGAAACGGCTTATGAAACGTGTGAAACAACGCTTGAAACGATCGAAACGTTTAAAACGTCGAAAATGGCGCTTGAACCGATCGAAATAGCGCTGGAAACGATCAAAACGGCTTATGAAATGGATGAAACCCGTTCGGTTATGTTCCCAATATTTATAATTCATACTCAAGAACTTGTAACTGTATCAATTTTGATGTCGATGATCTTGGAATAATAAAAGATGTAACTGTGAATACTGGGTGTTTTCGTTTTGGAATATTGAAGTTGGGTTTAAAATATCTTTAAATTCATGTATTTGCTTGAATGGATTTGAATTATTTCATGACGATTTTCTATAATTGATAGTATCGTAACTTTATGTTTATATATCCAAGAATTCACCTCACTCCCTTTTATAATGAACTCGCCTAACTGCACACCTAAACAACCTTGACTATCTCATACAATTAAAACTCAGATTGTATTTCATCAGTTCGGAGTTCCATTGTCTAATACAATATAAATTGATTTGAAATTCCTGAAAAAGGACACACAGGACAGTATCTAAACCAGAAATCCAACCACCATCAATCGACTAAGATAGAAATCATCAAGACTCTTATTAGACCGTGCTTTCGGGCTCTGTAATACAAAGGAAGGCCTCGAAAAGGAACTAGGCATCATCAAAAATGACCTTAACGGAATGGTTACTCCAGAGTGATGGTAGAACAGGCTTTAGCTAGAAGACAGCAAGAGCCTCACAAGAAAGAGAAGCCGCCACAACCAGAACTTGTACTTCCCTACATCAGAGAATTGTCGGAAAGAATAAAAAGAATCGGGTTCATGTACATCATCAGAACCTGTTTCAGAAACAGGTTCCGGAAACACTATCCGTGGCAGCCTTAGTAAAACCTGGCCACCAAACGCGAACTGCAATTCCACGAAATATATTTACTCGATACCTTGTGAGTGCGGCAAATCCTATATCGGTGAAACTAAGAGGTTATTTAAAGTTCGCATTGCCGAGCACAAGAGAAGCACAGTGAGGAGACACCAGCAAATGGGGAGTAGTAGAGCAAGTTTGGGCTCATCAACATAACATCAAGTGGTGCCAAGCTGGGACCATCCACAGGGAGGAACACTGGTTTGAGAGGAAGTTCAAAGAAGCTGCATATATGTTGTCA